ATAAATCCGAACTCGCGGGGAATGCTTTTGGATGTTGAATAGCCAAAGATCAGTTTTAAAAACGTTTTAAAATAATTTTAAAAACCGATTCGTTCAGACTTTACGAATAGGTTCAACCCGTTCACTAAAAAAAACGAGTTAAAAAGAACGATTCGTTCACTAATCGGCCATCACTACTGTAGATGGCAGTGTCGCTGCACGATCCGGACACAGTATGACGCAAAACAAAATGTGAAACTTGAAACTTGCGGAACTTCCGGTGCTGCTTTGAAGTGGGAGTGAAAAAATTTAGTCTACCGATTTAATGTTGACATTAATTAACATTATTGCGTGTAGTTTTATTGATAATTCTGGGCTTCTGTATTGTAAGTAAACAAACGATTTGAATATCCGGATCGCATATTGTCACAACGAGGTATGTTGACCGTCGAGATGATCCGCCCTTGTTTTTTTGTCCGTGTTGTTTTTAAAGTTTAGTTTAAATTCATTTGACTGTCTCCCAAAGTTATACAACGTGATTGTAAAGAAACATAATGTACATTTTTTTTGAAAATGTCGAAAAGGAACTTTTTTGGTCAAGTGATACTGTACTGACAACTCTAAATCAAATGGTTACAAAGTTGGTCTTTTAATATAATGTACTGATTTCAATGTCTCAGTGTTAAAAGAAACTTAAAATATTTGTGTTGTAAGGAATCCACTTGCAGAGTTTCCGCAGCTTCGGCAAAACGGTGGTTTATTGAACAGTAAAAAATAATATAATGTAATACAGTGTAGACATACACCGGGTATTGAAAGGCAGCTCAAATACAAATTAAGGACAGTTCTTCCCCCCCTCTTATACCCCAAAGGACCCTCTCCTGCAAGGTGCTGTGTGTAGGTGTTTGTGAGTGAATTTACATATAAAGAGTGACCCCCTGGAGAGTGAGGATCCTCAGACAAGAACGGGACAGGGCAGGACGGAGATTTCCCGTGAGAGCAAATGGTAACTCAGCCACTTCTCTGGCCACTGTCAATTGAATTATCTTCCTTAGCATCCCAGTGGTGCCAAATGGAACCCCTTATTCTCTCCCTGACTTCCCCCATGATCATAACTTGCTAACATTGTCTGTATTCAAATGATCAACCAAGAACATTGGAGCATCTTTACTACTTTTCCTTACAGTGTATCTATACTAATAACTACTGAGCTGTGATTGGACAATTCCTTACTTTCCTGTTATAACACCTGCTAGGATGAAGAACATACCTTTATTGTCACTGTGCAAATACAATGAAATATCATTTAGAGAGCCTGTAAAAGGCAAGTTAAAAATATCAAAGATTTAAGCACTTATATAGATAAGAAAACATTATAAATTAAATCAATATATAAGAAGAATGAAATATAAAGAATGAGAATGAAGAATCAATTTTGGTATTGAAATCAAAGCAACTAGTAGCACAGAACTGATTAGAGGGGATGGATAGAATTTTTACTGGGGGTGGAGGGGGGGGTACAATAAATAGTTATCGTAATGGGGAGTGGGGAGGTAGGAAATAATAAAAGAGCAACCACTGAGTGATCTAAGTGTTACTGGTTGTTTGAGTGTGATACATGACTCTGCTTTCACTTTTGCTTCCTGGATTTTTACCTGCGTTTGGCCCTGTTTTGCCTTCTGGATTAATTTGGATGTGCACCTGGTTTTGAATATTGAACATCTCCAATTTTTTTTCCCCTTCTTAACCGTAATTTTTTGACTGGCCTCACCAGCTAGAGAACCGCACCTGCTTCCACCTGGACTGTATCCAAGAGACCCTGGTTTGCTCCTTTCTCTCCTGGTGCTCACTCCATTTTGATTTACAGCTCTCCTCCTTTCCTGTTGAACCTGCTAAGACAGAGGTAGGGTGACCACCTAATCCATGTCAGGAGGGACACTATGAGCTACTTCAGCTTTTACAAACTACTTTAAAGCTGAAAGGGTTCTATGCTCTGCTAAAATGTTTGGTTAGTTCCTAGATTGAAAGACTCATCCAGCTGTTTCGCATTAACATTACTGACACATATGCATGATTACAGGACACTGACCAATCAGCATATGGCAAGAACCCAGTGCTTAAGTGAAATCCTGGTCCTTTTAATTGAAATGTATGAAATGGTAGTTTACAAATCCTGTTGTAGCTCATAGTGTCCCTCCTGACGTGGATTAGGTGGTCACCCTAGACAGAGGTCACTAACAGGCGGACCGCGGGCCGGGTCCGGACCCAGAAGCTGTCCTATACAGACCCGGACCGATAGCCAAAACATTAAGTTATTATTTAAAACCTGACGGGACGCTTCTATTGTAACCGTCGCAGCGTTTGTAGTCTTTTCGGTAGTGGTTTAGCAGTAGAACCGCTGTTTCCCACGCCAATGAACGTCAAACGCCTTTGACCGCCAAGCAAGACGTAATTCGGCGTATGCAGCACTTTGCGCTAATGTGCCGTTAGTGTTAGTAGCAGCATCGAAGCTAAAACCACATCCAAAAAGCCGTAATGTTCCTGACAGAGTGACTGGTCTGTCCTGAAATCGTAAAGCTGAACAGTTTTCAAATACAGTATGTATTATATAACATATTGGATAAGTAGACG